GCCGTGGGGGCCCCCACTCCCCACAGCCCTCCAGGTTGAAAATGCCCCGTCCACCACCACTCTCTGGGTGCGGCCCTCCAGCCAATTAGTGACCCATCCGACTGTGTAGGCGTCGACACCACAGTCCCCTAGTTTTTTAATGAGAATGGCGTGAGAGACAGTGTCAAAGGCTTTCCTGAAGTCCAGAAAGACTACGTCCACCGTGACACCTACGTCCAAGGATTTTGTGACCTGTCATAGAAGGCCCCAGGTTGGTCTGACAGGACCTGCCTCGAATGAACCCGTGTTGGTTGCCCCTAAGCATCACCTCCCCTACTTGCCCCTCGCGGACATGCGCCAGGATAACTCTCTCAAAAAGCTTACCCAGGATCAAAGTAAGACTAACAGGCCTATAGTTTCCTGGGTCCTCCTTCCTCCCTTTTTTGAAAATGGGGACCACATTGGCCATTTTCCAGTCCTCTGGCACCACACCAGAGCACCACGAGCGCTCATAAAGCCATGCCAGGGGTCCCGCAATGACCTCGGCTAGTTGCCTCAGCACCCTGGGGTGGAGGTCATAAGAACCTGCTGATTTCAATACATCCAGTCCCTCCAGAAGTTCCCTGACTAGATCCTTACTGACCCTGGGCCTGGGTGCACCTCTCCTGGAGCCTGAGGGGGTCCCAGTGGATGGGCTGATCTGGTCCATGCTCAGGAAAATGGAGGCAAAGAAATCGTTAAATAAGTTAACCTTGTCATCTGGTACGACAACCAGATTTCCTAGAGTGTCTTGCAGAGGCCCCATGTTACCGGTACCTTCTTTTTGCCCCCAATGTATTTAAAAAAGGACTTCTTCTTGTCCTTGATCCGGGTCACTTGTCCCAGTCCCATCTCTGCCTTGGCCTTCCTGACCGCCCCCCTGCAGCCCCGAGCGCCCGCGGTGTAGTCCTCCCTGGGGATGGCCCTCCCTGCCATCGGGTGTACACATTCCCTCTTAGCTAGGAGACGTTCCCGGATGCTTTTGGTGAGCCAAGGGGGATTTTGCGCCCTCTTGCCCCCTTTTCTTGGACACCCAACTCCCCTCCTCTCCCCTCCGGGACCTCAGTGCCTCCCTGACTATTCTTCTTACCTCATTGAAGTCTGCCCTCCTGAAGTCCAGGGCTGCTGCCTTGCTGCAGGCCTTTGTCACCTTGCGCTGGATGGTGAATCCCAGCAGGCGATGATCGCTGTCGCCCAGGTGGTCGAACACCCGCAGACCCCTCACCAGGTCGTCGCCTGTGGCCAGGACCAGGTCCAACAAGGTGTCTCCCCTGGTGGGGCTGTGCACCTCCTGGGTCAGATGGAGGTCCTGTATCTCAGCTAGGAACCTACGTGAGCGGTCAGACCTGGCTGACTGCTCCTCCCAGCAGATGTCTGGAAAGTTCAGGTCACCCATGATGACCAAGTCTTTTGACCTAACTGCCTCCGTGAGCTGACTTAAGAAATCCCGGTCTAGCTCTTCCCCTTGGTTGGGTGGTCTGTAGTAGACCCCCACCGTTAAGTCCCTTTCCCCCCGACTCCCTTGTATTCTGATCCAGAGCACTTCAGTGTGTCCCTCATCTCATCTGACCTTGTGCTACTCGTTGAGGATGTGTATTCCTCCTTAATGTAGAGGCCACACCTCCACCTTTCCTCCCTGTCCTGTCCCCCCTGTACAGCCTATAGCCCTTGATGTTCACCGCCCAGTCGTGCATTGGGTCCCACCATGTTTTGGTGAGCCCCACTATGTCTGGCTTGGTGTCAGCTAGCAGGAGGGCGAGTTCCTCCTGCTTGTTCCCCATACTACGAGCATTTGTGTATGGGCATTTGAGGCCTCCTGAAGATGTGTGCACTGCCCCCCTAATCTCAGTACTGCTGGGGCCCCAGTTGCTTACCTGGGTATTCATTCTGCTCGTCGGTGGTCCAGGCTGGGCTGTCCTTGTGGGTGTCTCTTTGTTTTTTGGTTCAAGGCTTCCTCTGCCCTCATCTTCCCTGTCCCCCAGTAAGCCTAGTTTAAAGCCCACCGGAGGAGATCCAACAACCTAGAAGAGAACACACGCTTACCTTTGGGGAAAGGTGAAGCCCATCCCACCTGAGCATGTCTCTCGTCGTGATGTGTGGGTCGTTGTCTAGGAAGCCAAGTTTTGTGTGGCGCCTTCACCCTACCCTTGCAGGAGTTTCCCTCTTGGCCCTTCCTGCCCACCCGCTGGTGCAAACGCCGGTGCAAACGCCAGCACGCTCTTACAGAGCGTGCCTGTTTGCACACACTGTTCGCGCGGCGTGGTATGGTGCGGCGTGGCTCGGGAGCATGGCTCCCTACCGGCTCAGCTAAAAGGGATCCGGGGGGCTTCCCCTCCAGATCTGGCTCAGCTGTGCCAGGTCCCTTTGCCCCACTTACCTTCGGGGGATCAGCTGTTGCTGCCCCTGCTGCTGGCTCCGCTGCTGCGTCCGCCTCTGCCTCCGCCTCGGGTCCAGTAAGGGGGCACATGTGTGTGTGGGACACACGTGTGCCTAGATCCCTCCTCGCCTCCCTGCTCCTGGCTCCCAAGTGCCGGGACTGCATTTGTTCTGCCAAATCTTCTGGTGGTTCATGTTTGCACCCTGGCCTCTTGCTCCTCAGTTACAGAAGGGGTCTGACTGCTAACTTAATTCAGGTCCTGTTTTAAACATCCTTCCTTCCTTGCTTCCTATTTTTGCTTCCTTTACTCTGGGTCCACCTGCCAGATTTTGACTTTTCCCACCTAAAAACTCCTCCCCATACCTTCTGCCCCCGGCCTCACAGGACAGGTCCGTGCAGGTCCAGCTGCTGTGCTAAGGACTTAGCTGCCTCTGTGTCTGATGAGGCTTTTTCCCATGTTCTCCTCTGCTGCCTCAGCGCACAGCATCCCTATGCATCAAGGCTGACAGGTGATCTGCTAGATGGTGATAAGGGGCTCAGCTTCCCTAGGGCAGGTTCTTCTCATTCTCTCCACTCAAAGGGGTGGATGTGATTGTGGGTGGTACAGGGTTCATCATCTCCTGCTGCTTAGCCTTTGTATGGGTCCCCTGCAACTGGGCATCTCCAGCCGCCTTATAGTCTCAGTGCAAGGGATGCTGTTCCTGAGTCACAAAGGAGCTGAGGAGGGCACCCCTGAGTGCACTCTGCCAGAATCATGTGCTTAAATTTTCCCTGAAACCCCCTAAAAGGCTGGTTTGTGTGGAAGCAGCTTTCCCATCTCAGTCCCCGGGACCTGGTCTGGAGTCTTGGAGAAGTGTTGCTGGTCAAGCCTTTGCTTACATCACAGCCACCAGAGCCTAAGGGTATCTGCTCCACGTGGATGGATACAAGCAGGCTTGGTCCACCTGCTTGCAGAGGGCTGGGGTCCAAGTTGTGCTGGATGCACCCAAGGACATCAAAACATTACCTCCAAGGGGTGTGTGATCAAGCAGTGGGCAATTGAGTAACCCTGCCAGCTCCTAAACTGAGAGGTGCACAGATTCCCACTGTGCCCATTCCCATGGGCACGGTGTCTGCACAGAGCTGAAGCCCCACGGCACCAGCTCCCAGCCTTCCCTGGGGAGCACACCCAGGACTGGTCCTGTCTTCTGTGTAACTGGTCTCTTCCAAAGCTTTGACCTTGTCCCTCTTCCCTATATGTCAACAAGAGGCATTTCAGAGGGGTGACATGACAGCACCTTCAGATACCTGAAGGGCTGCCATAAAGAAGAGAGAGACACCTCTTTTCTCTTGCTGCAGAAAGGAGGATGCGAAGCAATGGCTTGAAGTAGGTTTAGATTGGAGATCAGGACAAACATCTTCACTGTCAGAACAGGGGGGCAGTGGGGCAGACATCGGGGAAGGGGGATACTCTCCAGCATTGGAGGTGTCCAGGAGAGGTGGGACAGCCACCGGTCGGGGGATGCTCTAGGTACAGCGATGCCTGTGCTCTGCTTTGGGGATTTCCAGGCTTCTGGGCTCTGCTGGTTGCCCCTGGGGCTGGGAAGGGATTTTCCTTTCACTCCAGCTGCCAGGATTTGTTTTATTTATTGATTGATTGATTTAAAAATCTTCTGCAGCAGCTGGGGCTGGGTTGGGCTGTGCCAATGCTCCTGCTGGGACCTGAACCTGAAGGCTGGTGGCTAGAGGGTCTTGTTCCTCCATTTAGCGTCAGAAAGGAATTTCTCCCCACCCCCGTCAGCTTGGTACAGACTGGGGGGGTTGCCTTCCTCTGCTGCCAGGGCATGGCCTCCGTCTGGGGTGTCTGTTAACCTCCTTTCCACCAGCAGGATGTTGGTTGTGTCAGCCCCACCGCGTTCCCTGTGGCAGGGTGGGGTGCAGGGGGTTGAACTAGACGTGCCATCACAAGGTCCTTTTCAATTCGACTTCTCCATGACTCTGTGCTTCTAACTAAGCTATGATGTCTGACACCTGCTGCTGCCCCTGGCTCGTGCCAGGGATTGTTGCTCCCTCTGCAATGGGTCTAATTGGGTCAGAGAGGGTGAGGCCAGAGATGCCAGGGCTCCCATAGTCAGGCCGTGGTGGCTGAGGACGGGCCCCTCACGCATGGTGGCCCAACCGGAGACACTGATCACAGAAGCCAACACTGGGCACTGCCTGGCAAAGGTGCAGCTGCAGCAGGCACCAGCAAGGGTGGCAGGGCTTGTGGTGCTGGGGCAGGGGCTTCTCCACTCACACAGATGCTCAGCTCACTTGCTGCTCCACGGGGGCCTCCATGGCTCTGCCCTTCTCCCAGCCTCACATGAAGATCCCTGGCACTGCTGTTAAGGCATTTCTGTGGTGGCTCCCTGGACACCAGGCCAGCCCACAGCCAAGCACCAAGTCAACCCCATTCATTCCTATGGGAAGTTCACCTGGTGCCCCGTGGAAACCTTTCTGTGGACAAGGGCAGGGAGTTGGGAGGGGCGCACCAAAGCCAGAGCTGAGCCCCTCTCTGCTATCCCTAGCTGGGCCTGGAGCGCTTCCACGGCGTCGCAATCCTGGGCTCCAACGGCCCTGAGTGGGTCATTGCTGACATCGGGGCCATCATGGCCGGGTAAGGGGATGCCTTCACGCTGCGGGGTGGGATGGGGGCCCACGCGGGTGCCAGCACTGCCTGGTGGGGGGACTTGGGCCTGGCCCTGGTGTGGATGCAGGTTGTGGCTGGCCGAGGGGGCGCCTTGGGCAGGTCGCTGAGTGGCTCTGGAGTAGGTGGGACTGGAGCGGGTACAGCTGGGCTGATGGGGCATCTCCTCGGGGCCCCTGGTCTCATGGTGCTGCTCTTCCCCACCCCAGGGGCCTGGCAGTCGGGATCTACAGCACCAGCTCCCCTGAGGCCTGTGGCTACGTCGCCGTCAACTGCGCGGCCAACGTGGTGGTGGTGGAGGACAATGCGCAGCTCAGCAAGATCCTGCAGGTGACGGCAGCATCCCCTCCCAAGGGCGTTCCTGCCTCCCTGCCCCCCTAATCCCACAGGGATGCACCTCCCTGCCCTTCTCACCCCAAGGGGTTCGTGTGCCCTGCTCCCCCATGCACAGTCCTCCCCGGCTCCTGGACCCCAGCCCCAGCCCTGCTGGACTCATCTCCCTGGCATCCTCACTGTCCTGTTCCCAGTGATGCCCTGTCCCCTGCCCCTCCCCTCAGCCCCATGGCACAGCGATGCCTGCCCTGGGCTGCCAGCTGTCCCTACTCTTGCACCTATGACCACTGCAGAGTGTGAAGCACTGGGATGGGGATGCTGTGGGGCGGTGGAGGGGGCTCTCCTCTGCCTGAGGCTGCCGCATTGTCCCCGTGTCCCCACAGGTGCAGAAGCAACTGCCCCACCTCAAGGCCATCGTCCAGTACCGCGACCAGCTGGAGGAGAAGAGACCCAACGTGTACATGGTATGGGCCTGTCATGGTAGTCAGCAGTGGGGGAGCTGCACATCCCCACCTCCCATGCACCTGTGTTGCTGTATGGCCCCCACCCAGCACCCTGCACCACCCCCAGCACCTGTGCTCCCCACAGCGCAGACCACCTCCACACCCCTCCAGTCCCACAGCCTTGCCCTACTCAGCACAGCCTGCCTGGGAGTGGGTCTGGCTCATCCTGTGGCTCATCCCCTGTTATCCACATTGCAGTCAGCTTGGGTGGACCAGAGCTCTCCCCCTGCACCCGTGCCAGCTCCCTTCTCCTAGCACCAGGGAGATCAGGTGCTCTGTGCTATTGCTCCCACACCACCCTGGCCTTGATCCTGGCTGACCCGCTCCCTGGCAATGGCACGAGCTGGCAGGGGGAACGTCCTCCTGGGCACCCTTCTCCATGCCTTGTTCCCAATCCTGACTGACACACTGACCCGTTCCCTGGCAGTGGGAGGAGTTCATGGAGCTGGGGAGGACCGTGCCCGACTCGCAGCTGGACTCCATCATCCGCTCCCAGTGCGTGAACCACTGCTGCACCCTCATCTACACCTCGGGCACCACGGGTACACCCAAGGGCGTCATGCTCAGCCACGACAATGTGAGTGCCCCACATTGCTGTCCCTAATCCCCACAGCACAAGAAGGACCCTAGCTGCCTCCCACTCCCTGCTGCCATGGCAGAACAGGAGAGTTGGGGGCCTCCAGGGCCCACAGCCCCCATAGATGAGGTCGGGGCCATGGTCTGGGAATTGTGCCGGGCTAGTGGTGAACGAAGCCCCGACTGCTGCAGGTGACGTGGGTATCCAAGAGGGCGAAGGACATGCTGGGATTCCCGGATCATGGGGTATTCATCAACTACCTGCCCCTGAGCCACGTGGCTGCACAGATCCTGGACCTCTGGATGCCCATGTACCTGGGGGTCACCACCTCCTTCGCCCAGCCTGATGCACTGAAGGTAATGGGGCCAGATGGGAAGGAGCACAGCCACTCCCTACCCAGGCAGAGCTGCAGGGCTCTGTCCAAGCCGAGTTGTTGGGTCTCAGCAGGGAGGGGACAGGGACAGAGGGTGGGGGGTTGCTGCTTGCTGGCAAATCCCCCCCACCCCCACATCACTTTTTGTCTGCCCCACCTGTGTGCTACCAAAGGCTCCCCCCTTCCATCGAAGCCATTAGCCGATGGCCTGGTCCCAGGGCTGGGCTTCCCCCACCCCAGGTAAGAAGAAGGCGCCACGTGAGCTGTGCCAGACAAACCAGCTCTGCCCTAGTGGCTGCAGCATCCCAGACAGACAAGGGAGTGGTCAGACAGACAAGCAGCTCTTAGAGGCAGGGGATGGTCAAAGGGACACAGGGCAGCCCTGACTATCCATCAAGCTCAAGGTTCCTAGATGTTTTTTTACTGACGGCTCCATTTTTTTTACAGACTTTACAGATAGGGGGGTTTTTGCCCTATTTTTACTGAGTGTCTGTAAATTTACAAGCAGTTGGTAACCCTGGGGAGGGGGGTCCCCAGGGGAGGGGCACCAGCTTTACCAGTGGGTGTCTGGGCTGCCAGGGCCCCCCAGCTGGGACCCCTTTCCTTTGACCCTGCTTGCTGTGTGGGCCCAGGGCTCTCTGCTCACCACGCTGAAGGAGGTGCGCCCCACAGTCTTTGCGGGTGTGCCCCGTGTGTGGGAGAAGATAGAGGAGAAGCTCAAAGCTGCCTTCAACCAGTCATCCCTGGGCAAGAGGAAGCTGGTGGAGTGGGCACGGGGCATCGGCCTGCAGGCCAGCTACAGCCGCCTGGACGGGTGGGTAGGGGTAGCCAGGGGCTCAGGGTGGGTGGCACCATCCAGGATGAGTGGGGAGGGCAGCACAGGGGGTACAGGGCAGACAGACTGTGAGTGTCAGGTCACTGGGGGCTTGGGTCACCCAGCAGCCGTGTGCACAGCTGACACTGGGGCTGTCACAGATGCGGCCTGGGATGCCTGGCACATGCCTGACCCTTCCAGCCTCCTTTCCCCCCCTCCCCCCCCGCATTAGGTTAACAGGGGCCCTGCTCCCCAAGCTGGGTCTGTCAGCAGAGGGGGGGCACATGGGTGCAGCTGGTGGGACGCGGCGATTCCCACTGAGACAAATGCAGGTGACTGCCACTACCAGCGGGGACTGGCCCAGGTCCCCAGAGCCTTGCAGATATGCCAAGCATGCCTGAAATCCCTGCCCAGATGGATGCCCCAGTTCCAGCCCCACTGTCTGCCTCGCCACAGCCCTCCATCTCCTCCCCACAGGGACGGCTCAGTGCCCTGGGGCTTTGCCTTGGCTGACCACCTGCTGTTCAGGAAGGTGCGCGAGGAGCTGGGGCTGCAGCGCTGCACCCTGTTTCTTGCCGGGGCAGCGCCCACCTCCAAAGACACGCTGGAGTTCTTCATGAGCCTCCACCTGCCCATCTTCGAGATGTTCGGCTTAAGCGAGAGCAGCGGGCCGCACAGCACTTGCACAAATGAGACCTTTCGCATCTACAGGTGGGGCAGGGTGTGTGGTGGGGAGGGCAGAACAACACACTCCAGGCACTGGGACCCCAGTGTGCAGGGACCTGGTGGGGACTGAGCACCTGGCACAGATGGGGGCACAGCAGGGGCTGAGGCACAAGGGTATGGGTGGGGGAGCGGGGAACTGCTCCCAGCTGGGGTGCAGGGGAGGGGGGTTCAGGATGAAGCACCTCAGGGGCTGCACAGTCACCTCCAGGCAGGTGTCTGTCCCTGGGGGAGCCAGCTTAGCCCTCCCACCCGCAAAGCTCCCATTGCCGCTGAGGGTGTGGGCACTGCCTCCAGCTGCGGGAAGGAGCTGCCAGGCTGCAGGTCCCGCATCGAGCAGCCGGACGCAGAGGGCATCGGTGAGCTGTGCTGCCACATGGTTGGCCTGTTCTGCCAGGTCCGCCACGTCTTCATGGGCTACCTGGGCATGGAGGCTGCGACACGGGAGGCGCTGGATGAGGAGGGCTGGCTGCACACGGGGGACCTTGCATGCCGTGACCACGACGGCTTCCTCTACATTGTGGGCAGGATCAAAGGTAAGGGACGGGGATATGTGGGGGCAGGGGTGCTGGGTTGGTGCAGGTCTGGGGGTTCTGGGGGGATGGATACACAGGTGAGGCAAGTGCCCAGGAAAGGGGTCACAAGCCCATGGCTCTGGGGGCATGTTTGTGGTCTGGGTGCCCCAGGGGTGCTGGAAGGCCACGTGCAGAAGACACCGGAGGGAAGCTATCACCTTGCTGTGTCCTGTCAGTGGCATCTGTCCTCATCGCCTTTGCCACCAGCCTTTC